CGAAGGGATGAGAGTCTTGATTAAATGTGGAGGGGGAAATCTCTTTCAGAAGCTGAATGGAAAGTCAGACAGTGGGGATTAGCACCCACACACAGAGGCACACGCAAATATATGTTTGAATGCTGAGTGTTTACAAATGCAGATTCCAAGAAAGATGTGCAGACGTGGTAGAATTAACGCACAAACCATCACTGGTACAAAATGTGACTGGGATATACAGTACATACTTTTATGTGCTTACTCATCCTGTAACACTCAGTGCAGCATCACCGACACTTTAACAAAGGTCATCACATATAAGCAAATTATACATCATTTCCTACCACTGTATCAAGCTATCCAAGTCCACCCCCACCCCCCAACCCACACGCCAGAGAAGCTGAATATTGATATTTTCAGCAAGTAGCCAGCCCCGCACACAGTTGGCATCAGACACGAAGGATGTGCACATACTCACGAAGACCGAGTATGTGTACAAAGATGGCAAGAATGGCAGCTGCAGCATCCAATTCAGTCAGTGCGCTCTACCTTTTTGGCTTTAAAACAGAAGAGGGAAGTCTTGACTGAGCCAAGTCAGCATGAGATGATTTCCCACAGGGGCAGTTTTTGCACAGAAGAAAGAGGCTTCAAAAAGTCAAAGAGTGACATTGTTCTTTGTGAAGGTTTTTATGAAAAGAAAAAACAACTTTAGCCAACCCGCAGCTCATCTAGAAGCAAATACAGTCCTATTTCTACTAAGAACAACACATTTCTAAGCTATGAATATGGGCAGTAACGGTGTGTGTGTGTGTGTGCGTTTTCTCAGCTCGGTAGTGAGTGGATCGATCCTTATTGATAATGTCAAGATTTCTGAAATGTCAGCTGGTGCAGACCTTTACCTGTCAGCTCACACACACAGTCAAATGTCAAAATGTGATCAACATGAGCAACAAGCACCCAGTCATTGACATACAAGATGTACTACAGTCACAAGTAAACCAATTTAAATCTCCCACAATAACATACTGTCTCAAACACACACAGCAGGCCGTCCTCTCCTGCTGCCATATCGTCCATTGATAATAATGACAGTGATGAATACTGCTGGAACAGAGCAAGTCATAAATCACTGGGCCTCACCCCTAACTCTGACTCACCGCCCGGGCATTCATTTGTGTGTGTGTGTGTGTGGGGGGGGGGGGTCTCGAAAAGGGAGGACTTGTCGTGGGCTACGCATCAGTGGATATGTCCAGTGACACCTTAATGTGCTTGGCTTGTCTGAGGAACCCCTGCAGGCTACACACACACACACACACACACACACACATCAATTTGCAGCATGAGAACAAGGCTGTGTTTATCTGTTATATGAGAAATATAGGAAAAATGGAGCATGACTGCATTCTTCATATAAGTTTACCAGTGTGTTTCTGTGTGAGTAGTAAAGTAGCATGCTCTTTCCTTCATCTATCCATGCTCTGCCTCCTCTACCTCCTTTGAGAAAGAGACCAAGTATGTCTATGTATGTGTGTGTGTGTGAGAGAGAGAGAGAGAGAGAGAGAGAGATAGAGAGAGAGAAAGAGAGAGAAGGAAGAAAAGGGGGTGCAGCAGCGATAGTGAGCAATCATTAAAAACATGGGAATGGGATCAGTAGAAGGCATTTAGAGGGGAGGGCTCAATTTGGACTTAAATGGAAACATGGAAGCGTGTGTGTGAGTGTATGCAGCAACCGAGGCACAGATTTATAAAAGCAGGGATGGGGGGCATAGCTGGATAGATGGAGGGCAGAGGATAAAGATGAGGGTAAGACGGAGGGCTAGAGAAAGGAATTGCCCCCTTTAGTCATCAGTGCTGGAAAGGGGGTTTAGCTTGGAGGTCTGGCAACTGCAACCCCCACCCATCCTGCTTAACCCAAGCCTTCTATCCATTAATGGAACACACAACTGGATGAAGATGTGTACTGTGTGTGTGCGAGAAAGAAAGCAAGGGAAGTTCTGAAGCAAAGGGCATGCTGGGAGCTGGATGGAGACAGAACGTCCTTGAGTGTAAATGGGTGTGTGTGTGTGTGTGTGTGTGTGTGTACAGGAAGTGTGTGAGCCTCAGTGTGTGTTCTTGTCTTGCGCTCGTGTCTGTAAGTAAATATGTGCATGTGTGTGTCCCTCATGCCCTTTGCTGCTCTAGCTGCCAAGATAAAGTGGAGGAGGCCTCCAAGACACAAAGGCCCACTTAAACAATAACACAACTGTGTATACCTCTACCCTAACATACTGGTGCTGAGCCTGTTTTGAAATATGATCTTCATAACACCAACAATAAATGTCCATTATTTATCTCTGTGGTATTGTGCGTATTTGATTCAACACACTTTACATTTGTGTGCTCATCTGTCTCCAGCATGTGTGCATGTTCTCAATCCACATCATTCCCACACTGAAATAAAGTACTGTGCACCACCCCGGCTGCCATAAATCTTAACACTGTATTAGTGGTCCTAACTTGTATTGTAAAAGACGCAGTTGCACCTCGAAGCTTGTTATTAACGTAAAGGTGGTGAGCACTGACAGTAAAGTTACTGAGTGGAGCCATCAGCACCAGGCAAGTAATGCTAGTGTTAGAAGCCAATGATTCAACAGTAACTGGGACCAACTCCTGTCAGTTACCCAAGTAATGTGTGCCCATACAGTGATACTAAGACATTGAGAGAAAATTTCCTCTTTAGTAAAATTTCCTCTTGAGTTAACATTGGTACTATTACCCTGGGTAACTATTTAATTTCATGACAGAAGACATAATTGTGTGTGATATTTCTGATTCATATTTAACATTAAATTAAAATTAGGAAATAACTGATGTATATTAGTCACACTGGTCACACACTGAAAAACATCAAATCCTAATCATGGGTGGATGGAATTAGCACTGTATCATGTGATACATTTTACATTTCTGCAGTGAAAATTAGGTCTGTGAGAACATGGTCCCTACAGTCAAACATGGTGGAGGTTCACTGATGCTTTACTGCTTCAGGCTCTGGATGTCTTGACTGTGTGTATGGCATTATGAAATCTGACTACTAATGAATTCTGGGGTGCAATGTGAGGCTCAGTGTCAGAAAGCTGGGTCTCCGTCAGAGGTCATGGGTCTTACAGCAGGACAAAGATGTGAAGCAGACTTCAAAAAGCACCAGAAATGGTTTCAGACAATGTGCCAGAGAAGTGGCCAGATCTCAATCCCATAGAGCAGCTGTGGAGAGATCTCACAACAGCAGCTGGGAGAAGGATCCCTTCAAATCTGAGACCTGGAGCAGCTGGCAGAAGAAGAGTTGGTTCAAAACTCCAGTAGAGAGGTGGAAGACTCCCTGGTGATTACAGGAAGTGACTGATTTCAGTTATTTTGTCCAAAGGGTGTGCTACCAAATATTAAGCTGAAGGTGTCAGTAATTCTGTCCGGTCCATTTTTGGAGTTCTGTGTGAACTGGATCAGATTTGGCTTTTTTCTTTTTGTGCTGTTCCAATGCAAACAAAAGAAACAAACATGAGAATACCAAAGAATTTGTGATTGCAGCAGTTTTCTGGGAGAAGTGATGCCTTATCTGACAGAAATGCAGGGGTTGCTAATATTCTTGGCCATGACTGTACAACCTCACTTTCCTTTTTCTCCCCTCCCTGCATCTCTGTTTCCTTCACTCAATGCACTAATGAGACAGAAAAACGAGGGGAGCAGCTGGGCCTGAGGAGCAACAGAGATGTGACCCCCCCTTGTCCTGCCATCAAAGTAGACACAGCCCTCGCCAGCGGTGGGACTGGTAATGACCAGGGGCGCGCACACACACACACACACACACACACACCACATGTGACCTATAAAAATCTCTGTATGTTTGTGTGTGTAATGTCTTAATCACTAGCTATGGTGGTGATGTGTGTAGCCGGCATAGGTGTGTGTGTTGCTCTGTAATTATATTCAGCAGTGGGTTGAGTTATGTTGCCATTGTAAAGTGGGGAGGAGGGTTAAGATATACATCAACTAACGGCTAATGGTGGTGAAGTCTGCTCTGGACAGATGGTACTGAAGGAAATGACTGGACCCAACCATGCAAGACAGAAAACCGGTGTGTGTATGTGTACCTAGGCTCTAGCAATCATGTAGTTTTTGCCATTACCAGTGTTCATCAATCCAATGATCCAATCACCTCCAATAGCTGAACTGGGGTGGGGGTGGGGTGCCCTCTCTCTCATTACAATTTTGATGGTCATTATAGCTGATCTCGGAGCACAGCTGCTGTCATTAGCCCGCATTTTGCTTCAGTTTATCAGACAGTGTTAGTGACTGTAAAAATATAAAGTTTGTCTGCAGCAATAGCACAGAGATTTCCCCCCTCCCTCCTTCTCTCCTGTTGGTATGTCTGTCACTCTTGCTCTAATTACACATACGCATGAGAAATAGTTTTGCAGTGCATAACTGAAAAATTATTTGAAGTCAATTGCAGGTGTTTACTGTATACATTCACAATTGAATTTCAGGCTTCAGCTAGAGCCAGCCTGATAGAAACAGACCGAAGCCGTTCAAGATAGAGAAGTGGAGAGAAGAGCCTCGGTCAAGGACCCAGCAGGCACAGACACACACACCTGCTAGAATCGAGCAGTAGCACCAGGCATATGAAGAAAGGAGATATTTGTCATACTGCAAAGAGCATGTGGCAGGACTGGCAGGTGGAAAAAGGAGCCTGAACAGGTTGATTTAGACCACTGAGCAGAGTCACTTGGGCTGATTAACGCTGATTGCCGACTGAAATAAAACAATAAGTGTCAGCGTCTGCAATCGTCATAGTCAATCTAATCATCAATCAGCACAAAACTGTGCATGCGTGTAAACACACCTACATGTGTGAACAAGCATATGGGTGCAGCCAAATAAAATGTGTAACTGAAGGCACCATTGGCCCTCTTACATCTCAGCTGCACAGTTTGTGTGTGTGTCTGGATGTGTATTTGTGTGCGCACCTCCAACAGTGAACTCACCTGTCTATCAGTCAGAGCATAGATGTACTGCTGGTCTGGGCTGAACAGCATGTCCCTCAGTAAGGGGCTTCCCCCCTCACTAACGGTCACCTTCTCATACAACACCGCTGGCCGGTAGGGACTCACAGAGTTCACCAGGATCTACAAGGAAACACACACACAAAAACCACATTGAAGAAGGACTGCTCATACAAACAAACCTTATGAGCATTCAACACATGCAGAAATATGATCCCTCAACTGCAATGGCATTTTATCGGGCATTATGTAACTGAGCACCGCTTATGTAAAACTGCAAATAGCGATATGGAGTATGGCATTTGCATTATTATTGCTATAACACCTGGGAGCTGCGGCTTTATGGTAAAAGCTCTGAAAAGAAAAGTGTCAAGCTGTAAGACGAGGATAGATTTCACTTCGAAGCAGCTGCAGGCAGGAGTGATCGAGTTAGTCTGGAATGTTTACATGTAACATGATCACAGCCAGTGTTAAAGCAACTAATAAGTTGAAAATGTTTACTTTTAGTATACATCAAACAACATATTCATTTTCTCTATATTATATTTGCAGCACATATGAGCATGAAGACAATGAAATACTGAGACACAATCTTTGTTTTTGCCGTTTTTGCACATCTCATATCCCCCTAGCAATATCCATACAAAAAAACTTCTCACATTGCATATTTCCCCCAAACTAGTTTCTGTGTATGTTCTTCCTCCTGGGGAAACAGGCTGCATTCACTTCAGCAGTAACAGGTGGTTATTATATTACTGTAGGAGGCATGAAATTACCCAAATTTTGGGAAAAAGGCTGAATTCGCTTGCATTACAGAACCATGTGAACGGCTTAATTAAAAGGCTGTGTTATTAGTAGTGTTGAATATAGTGAACAGAGACATGATTACAGAGGTAGATGCATAGAAAGGGACATTATTGAACAAATAATAGTGTTATTACAACTGTACAAAAGACAGCTCTATTCAGTACCTGAGGGGAACAAATGGAAACAACTTTACAACTGAAATTATGAAAACACTGTAGTCTTGTATAAAGGCTGGAAAGAACAACAGTGATTCACTAGCTTTGGGTTTCATTGGAAACGTAATTACCAATACACCTGTATAGACAAGCGTAACTATTTATCTCACAGTGAAGGCAAGCAGGTGCATGTGCATACACACTCACACGTGTGCAGACACTCAAAATTTTCTTTTGTGAGCTTTGGCGAATAATTTGCCCAGATATGGAAAGTAATGGTGCAGATACAAGATGGGAGATTGGCTGGCTGGGATGGCTGTGAGCCAAAGTCATCTCAGCAGCAAATGAAAAGCGCCGAGTTGGGGGTGGGGGGGTATCAGCTCTCCATTACTGAGCTTTGTCGACTCGCGCTGCTATCAGCCCGCAGTAACAAGGAAGGAACGGCAGGCAGTGACTGGCTGGAAAATGACACTGAACACACACACACACACACACACAAAAAGGGCCTCACCCAGATAGATGAGAAGTGATAAAATGAGAAAACACAAAAAGGATGATATACAGTACATATGCTAATAGTGCATTGATAGAGATATACTCTCTGCATGCACGCCCGCACACACACACGGGTGGAAGCTGAACATACACACTTTGCAATGAAAGAATTTATTTACAATCTCACCAAAAGAAACCAGGGGCAACAATCCCATTATCTCCCACTGCCTGTGTGCCTGAGAGAGAGGCCGAAAAAGACAGAGAGATAGCGCTCATAAGGCTGTGATAAAGCACCAGCGACGAGAGGAAATATGGATGTTATTACCTAGGTAATGGCTCTGTAAACAAAGGATACATTTCATTCATGGATGGCTCACATCTACACGACCACATACACACGCATACCAACACACGTGACAACGCAGTTCGCACATACAGACAATGGGAATAAGGCTGACAGATGTGAGGGTGAAAGAATGGTTTTTGTTCTCTGGGCTCCCAGCATCATTTTCTCTTTCTCTCTCTCTCTCACAGAAACGAAGGCTTTCCAGTTGGCAGCCACATCTCTCTCTCCAGACACCTAAGTCCAGTTCACTGGCTAATGACCAGTGCAGCTTAGACACAACCAGACAATACTACACAGACTAAAAATCTTTCTGTCAACCTTCCTGTCCATCTGCTTGTCTGTCAGAGCATCTTCCAGTCTGTGTTAGTATACAAACAAATGTCTCTTCATCCTTTCTCTCCTTTTGTCAATTACTGATTCCAATAACCCTTCAAAAACAGGGACATTAAATCTAACATATAATATGTTTCTCTTTTGTCTTACTTCCTTTTACACCTTTGTTTCCCTCTTTATTCTCTCCCTACCATTTTCCTTTCTCTGTGACGAGACAGTTCATACCCAGTTTTAACATTTGGGAAAAAAATGTGTGGAGAAAGCAAGAAAGGTGAGAAAAACTGAAAACAGCAGAGTGGGCGCATGAGTAGGTGACATGTGAAAACAACAGGTAATAAATCGTCTCAAATCAATTTACTCTACGGATGCTGCAGCCAAGACAGGCCAGAGAATATGGAAACCAGGGACAGAACAAAGGACTATGGGATATATAAAGTGGATGGGCAGATGGATGGGTGGGATACATAAGGTATGTTTGCCTGATTGGATCAAACTGAGCTGCGCGCCTGGGAATAGAGGCAACAATCTAATAACCAGGTTAACAGGGGGAACACTACATTTAGGAGAGGTTACAACCTCTCCTGGAAGAGCTTAGTGTGGATGAATGTGTGCATAACTGTGTGTGTGTGTGTGTGTGTGTGTGTGTGTGTGTGTGTGTGTGTGTGTGTGTGATTTTACATGCCTGTGCATGTCTTCTGATTTTCACATATCTACAACAACATCAACGTGTAGGATATTTTTCCCCACACATGTATAAATTCACAGGTTTACTGTATGTTTCCATGTATGCACAGCTCTATATGAATGTGTATACAGTCTGCACAGACCAAGCCAAGAAATCAGTGCGTTCGTTGGTGACGACACTTCTGCTGTCTCATCGCCTCCTTTGTATTGCCTGGCTTTCCACTAAGTGCTTGATGGATTGATTCACAAAATGATGCTGCGCTCGTGTTTTCAGGAAAAGGCCCATCTCTACTCTCTTGTCAACATGTATAATGTAACATTAATAGACCTTAAACACATTAGAGCCACTGTTTTAAGTAAGAACACAGAGAGGTAACAACAGAGGGAAGAGAGGAAGCAGACAAAGCAGAGAGGGGGGAATAATGAGGAGTGAAAGCCACTGGGAAATAATAACATATGAATAAATTAAAGCAGAATAAACAAACTATAGAGTCTGCCTCTCTACGACTTTGATGGGAAACTCCAAATTTGAGCCGATAGCTACAACTCAGGAGTGTTTCCATGACCTACAATTGTTATTCCTTCCTGCAATGTTAATATTGTTTGTCAGCTCGGCAAAACTGGGAATAAAAGGAGATGAAGCAGTAAGTGCTGTTTTTCACTACAGCTGTGCTCTCTGGAGAGGAGAGGCCGTACAGTGTTGAAAACAACTGAAATCTAATATCCAGTGGAGTAAATGAGAGAAACAAGTTGCGGAGTAACTTCTGGCACATCACTATAGCATTGTCCATTTCACATTCCCCAACAGCTCCAGGGGTTTTATTACCACCCCTGTGTTTCCCTGTCTGCAGTGCGCCTCTCGATATTCACAAACCTTTAAATAATCCATGTACTGGAAAAACAGGACTGCAACCACCACACTGTAACATTCCCTGCTACCATCCCTCCTCCTCCTCCTCCTCCGCCCACAACATCCAACATCCATTTTTTAAATCTGTTCTAGGAGCATTTACACCTCCCTCAACCCGCTGATCCACCCAAAAGCCCCTAATGCCAGGTTTTATCTGTGCCAGGCAGGCCTGGTTAGCACTGATAGACACACAGGATAGCTACAGCTGGTGGTATGAGGGTGAGAGAGGAGGGCGATAAGGCCGGCATGTCAGTGAGAATGATGCCTGTCATAGCGGCAAGTGACAACTGATGGAGCTTACGTACATGAAAGCGAGAGGCTTAGAGACACAGAGAGAGAAGGAACATCAATTGTGCATCTTCTACAGGATAGGTGCACTGGGGGGAGAACGGCGGGGGAAAGGGAACAGAGAGGGAAGGGGGCGAGGAAGTGAAGGATGGAAGATCAAAAGATAAAAAGTTAGAAGCAGCTGATGTATCAAAATATTGATTTACGCAGTAAATTTAAATAAAAGAGGGGACAGAGGAGTTCAAGCCGGAATTTCACGTCAATGTTAGCTTCACATGGAACAGAACAGACTGGTCCAGGTGTCCTTATGGGTCTGTCTGACAGCATACAGTTTGGGGATTGGCTTTGACATTTCAAAGCAGATCTGGAAATGTGTGTGAACATAAATCATACTTGACTCACACTCGTGAACATGCGCACATGCGTATACTGCCTTGAAAGAGGGGGAAACTTGACATAACTAGGTCTACGCATACAAAATGGCAATAGGCCCCACATTCCTGACTTTGATGTGCAAGGGGACCCCCAAGTACACGTGCATATGTGTGTGTGTGCGCGTGAGAGGCAATGTGCTTAGGGGGCCCTGCTGAAGTTGGCAATTCAATGTGGAGCAAAACAAAATGAGGCAAAGCAGCAAGAGGGTTACAAACGGGATAAACGTGGTACAGCAGTCACATGTGTACTGTAAGATGCCACCTGGTTGTACTGAGCTGGGCCGATTATTCAGAAGGCATCTGCTGTATCAGTCTGGGAACATTTGCTCTCATTTTTCCTGCTGTTAAAGCTCATGTGATCTGAACAAAAGCTCCAGAACAGTTACTGAACAGACCCGGTAGTGAAATTATTGTTTTCCCCAGATACAGTTTGGTCATGAATAAACTTTGATCCTCAGATTTTACACATGGACAAGAAGTTCTTAAAGCACTCGGGAGAAATATAAACTTGAACAACTGATAATGAAAATCCTGTAGTATGATTGAAAGCTATCACTGTTATTATTGTTGTTGAGGGAAACGTTAGATCTTAGCTGAAATACCTGAAACAAATGTACACACAAATCTCACCCTGACAGTGATGTTCTGCTATATCCCTGTGCCTGGTATTA